CCATAATAGAGCCTACCCTTTACTATCATACAATGTGATGGTTGTAAAATAAATTGGTTACATAATTGACTCAATTTCATGATTTTTTTCTGGGCGCTTAAGCAAGCACAGGGTTCATAAAGCAAATACCACAGTCATTAAGCCAATATCATGTTCATTAAGAAGACCAACAATTCACTATGGGTGTGGGATTGCCAAGAACTGGAAGTAAATGCCCTTTTTTGGGGGGGAAGCTATCAGCAAATGTGGTCACATAACTTCAGGATGCTGCAAATGGCTGTGTTGCTTGGTTTCTGAAGTTCAGTCACATGACTGCAGAGGGAGCCTGACCATCCAAACTTCAAATCCAGATCATAACCCAAATTATTTGGTATTCAAATATCAATAGATCACAATTCTAAGATGCTCTTTCACCATATATGTGAAGATATGACAATATGTGACTATTTAATTTTGCATGCCATTCTCAGATACATTAATATCCAAATAAACATTGTAAAAAACTAACAACAATTCATTATCTGTTTATTTTGTGTTGTATTTAACTTTTTATAAAAGAAATCACAAACCTTAAGTATCCATATATTTTAATGACATTTGTATTACCTGAATTCCTATATTTACATATTTGTAGTGAAGAGTGTTAAGTAGTTTGAAATATACATGAATAGGAAAAAAAATCTTAATCCAAAATCATAGAACATTTCTATCATGAAATCCAATATACAAGCATTTCTATCCCCACCTGTTTTATAGAATGTTAGAAACTGGGCAGATAACAGAATAACAAAGAGTCGGAATTGACCTTGGAAGTCCTCTACTCCAACCCACTTGAAAGCTCTTTGTACAGCCTCTTTGAATTCTTTGTTCCTTTGATATATTTGTTAAGACATACGTGGTTATTAAGGAACCATAAAAATAGAAAACCACTGAAAATAGCAACTAAAGGTTGTCTAAATCACAGAAAAAAATGGTTAAATCTGTTGGGACGACAAAACTTACCTGATATACAAGAAAATAATATGTATACATTTAAGAGTATTATGGACGTTCCACTTAAAAGAAGGATGAAATTTTATTCATCAACTCTCCAGATTAGGTCTAAGTTGAAAACCAAAGCCAATATTACTTTATATATGTAAAGTTATAGTAAAATAATATCGCAAGTCTGAATATGTGTCTCCACTTTCTCCCTTTTTCTTCATAAGAACTAGGGGGGGGGGGTGTCATTCTCAAATTACATGTTTACCCCAAACTTAGATTTCACTTATTTCATTGTTGTCTTGGTTGTGGCTCTTCTTCCTGTTCTTCAAGATTATTCCTTCATTCTATTATCATTGATAAATAATGATCCTCAGTACCAATAAATATTCTGTAGTTACAAGATACCCAAATAAATTGTTGTGCAAAGCAATGTTAGTGCTGGAGAGCATTCACATAATGGAACTTTCAAGATAGCAGCACTATTTTAGTCTTCAATATGGATGTGGTTATAGTAGTACAGAAGATACTATGACATGAAAACAATGTCCTGAATGAATTGAATGAGGAATTAGAAAGATTCTTCTAGTTATTACGGAGATTTTACTTGTAATGTGCCAAAAGATTATGATACTTATTTAGACCAAATTGCTTATTCATATTACCATGAATTCAGATATTTCTGCCCTAAAATCAACATCTTGATTACTTTTATTTATTTATTTTTTAAAGATTTTATTGGTAAAAAGAAAATACTTTTAATGTATATTTGTGATTGAAGAGTTGGAGAAGAAGGTGATACCAGAAGATGTGTCATCAATTGTCTACTATCCATCAGAACTATTTGAAGGACTGGAGGATGACATACAAGAAAGTCATTCTACTATGTTCATTTCTTCTTTAAACTCTCCAAACTCATCAAAA